TGTGTGTGTGTGTGTGTGTGTGTGCGCGCGCGCGCGCGCGTGTGGTATGTGGGCGGCTCCAAATTTGGAAATAACAGACAACGCTTAGGACCCCAGCCACCGGATAACAACTCTAAACTACGGGCGAATATCCTGGAGTCTGCAGTAAGGAGTCCTTATATAATGCCAGCTGCTTGTGCCCTCGCCCTCCTGTCGGCAAACACTTAAATGCACATTCTCTACTGGGTAATACAATCCGCCTGGAAAGCCCCAAAACGCGGGCAATGAACTTGAGAATCAATAAGTTCCAACTTGGCAATTCTGTGCCCGGCCACACGCGACTTTCATACAGACGGAAAACTACAAAACCCCGAGACAAAAAAAAAGAAGAAAGAAAACGAAATAAAAAAATACAACTATTTTCCTGCTGGATTGTTTTCTTCATCCCCGTTCACTCTGAACAGGGTGTTCAGCGCGTGACCCTAAAGCCCAAATTGGCCCCCAGATCGAAGAAAACGGACATAAACGAGGGGATCGATGTCTATTTTTGGACGGAGAAACGAGATGAGGACTGGGCTCTGGCTCAAATAAATACCACGATGGTTCGGGGAGAGCTCTTCGTAAATAGTTCTTTTTATCATTATATCTTGACCGCCGTCACTCTGCACCCCCCCCCCCTCCCTCTCTCTCCCTCCCAGAATATTGTTTTCCCGCCCCTTTGCCCAACTAGTTGTCGAAAGCCATTAGGGCAATTGAAGCGTGACAAAATATTATATTACTGCATCAACGGGACTGAACTATAATATACTTTATGATGTCTTAACCTAGACTTCAAGAGCCTTGCAAATAACACAAACCTGGGTTGTTGTTGTTGTTTTTTTTGTTGTTTTTTTTTGGGGGGGGCTGTTCTTGGCCATCGAAAGTCGAATAAAGAAAGCTCCTCATGTATTGATTAAACTGGACTGTGCAAAGTTCACATGGGGCTCCGTCTTCCCAATAATCTGCATAATGGCTTAAATCTGGCGGAAGCTGATGTAACATCTTCAAAGGGGGCGGTTGGGTTGGGAGGGGTGGGGGTGGAAAGGGGGGAGGGGGCATTGACCACTCACGCTTTCGATCGGCTTAACGAGTACGGCCAGTAACAAAGAAGACTCTCAGGGAGAATTTATAACGTCTCAAGATAACGATTATCTCGACCTCTAAAGAGACTGGCAGCGGTCCAAAATCATAAGAGAACATGTACACTGTACGCCCAAATGTTCTGAGAGAAGAGAAGAGAAGGCCTGGCCTTACACTATCACACAGTGCGCGCTGTGTATCCAACCAGAGATATAGCTAACGGAGTCAGCATGATTGCGGCCATATTGCGTCAAGAAAAAGAAATAATAACAATTATTGCTCAGCCTGAGGAGATGGAAAGAGAAGAAGAAAAAGGGGAGGAGGAGGAGGAGG